TCCAAATGTTACCCATTAAAATGGATATGATCATCGATCATAGTATACGAAAGCTTCATCAACAGCGTATTTATTAATCTCCGGAACGACGGACAACAGTTAAGGGCACTAAAGGAAGGAATGGAGGTGGCAAAAAATGAAGAAAGCAAACCTCGCGGCTTTGGGTGGTAATAGGAGTAGAAAGAGGTGTGAGGAGGATTTGGCGCCTCCTTTTTCAGAGATGGCTGAGACGGGTATTAACAGCTCCAGATCTCCGTCTCCCCCTCCCTCTCTCTCGTTCCCATTCTGTTTCTTTCAGGTTCGCCGTTCGGCTTTCCTCACATCATGCCATCAAGGGAATTAGGATTTGGACGACAAAATGGATTTAGTGTTTTTTTTAAACATATATATAATATAATAATTTGTTAATAAAATTTTATATTTATTTTTAATTAAATACTAATCAAATAAAATTTTTTATTAGATATATGTTTTTTTATTTTTTTTCGAACAAGTTGTTAGAGGGTGGATTTCAAAAAAGAAAATGCACTTCAAGTTGAAAGACTGTTAATTGACTCGAAAAATCAAGTGCCGCATATGTTAGAGTTATTATTTTAACCCTTTCTTATTTTTATCTTACCCAACCAATAAGCTATATGGTCTGAACGCAAAATCATTTATTTTTAATAAAAAAATTATTAATTAATTATTTATATAATTAATGTAAATATTTTTTTTAAATAAGAGTAAAATAAAAATAAATATATTAAATAATATTCAAAAATAAATAACTAAATTTAAACATCACAAATGGTAAACTAGATGTATTAAAAAAATAATAATAAGTAAATTATAAGCCTATTTATAAAGACCTAATTGAACATGCCTAAAGGTTTAGGGGTTTGGATTTTAATTTCAAATGGGAGAATTTTGAGATTAGTTCACATACCATTATTTGTCACGTTAACAAATGTAGAGAAATCTATATGTTGCATAAAGTGTTGCTACTTGCTACCAGTCCATGTCTGAAATTAATGTTACATAAAATCTATTTAGTTTAAAATCAGTAGCTAATAATTTAATTTAATAAATAAGAGTATTTAAATTATCCATAATTATTATTAACTATTAAATTAAATAAAATTACTAATTATTAATTTTAAATTGATACACCAAACAGTTTTAAAATAATTGTTTTACAACTTAAATTATAAAATAAAAACTATTAAATAAAAATAATTTTCATCATTAAATAATTTATTTTTATTTAATGATTTATTTTATGCAATTTAAATTATATAATCCTTCTATCCATAATATAAAAATACTAAACTTTTTTCGTGCAAGAAATTAAAAGGTGGCCAGCTGTTTTAGGTAGAAAACGTCGACACATGTAAACCTAGATTTATATCTCAAAATACAAATAATATACATACATATCTGATGGCCAAAAAAAAATACAAACATATCTGAATCTTCACCTGCTACAAAAAATATTGCTAACAGGGGATTACATTATTCAACATTCATCCATTGGATTTCCTTCCACTTTTAGGTGCTCCCACCAGGATACGTGCAAGAATTGTAACCTGTTAACACAAAAGATATAAACACGCATGACCATAAAGCTAAATTCTTTAAAGAAATAATAATAATAACAACAAATCAAGAACTTTGCTTGAGAAAACTTACTTGGGTCGTTGTTGGAGAGCACGGCGGTTTTTGAGAAATCACAGTCCCATGGATTCCTACCCAAAGTCTGATAGTAGAGATTCATGGCGTATGCCGCATGTGATGCCACCGTGTTTGGATCGAAACAAGCTCCACCCGGTTGAATTAGACTGCAGTCAACCTTCCCACAAGCATAATCCAAATTTGCCTGCAACTGGGCGTCTGGTGTGCCTTCCTCGGGCATGCACCATGCTGCTTGGTTCGGCTTACGGGGTTGAATTGCCGGTGTTGAATTCACCGGCGTTTTTGGTGTCGCCGGAGTCTTTATTTATAGAAAAAAAAATGTCAGTATCTTTACAAGGAAAATGTATATACTCAATTGAGCTCCCAATATAGGGTTAGGATGATATTAAACATCTAAAAATAAGACTAATTTTGTGATAAAAAAATATAGTTTAATCAGAATTATAAAATACTAAATGTTTTTGAATAGTTTACAATTTGAGGGAAGGGGGGATTTTTTCGAGACATTGGTGAGGATTAAAATCCGAACAATAAATCTAAACTCTTTAAAGTTTAAGAAAAATCACTTGACCAAAGGATCCATTCATAAAATACTAAATGTTTTGTCCTTAATAATCAGAGAATCTATTCTGACCTGGCTGCTTTTGGAGAGGCCGGCATCATATGTCACGGTGAGATCGGGCTTGAAAAGCCCGAATGCCCGTTCGGAACCCGGTCCAGGTTTCAAGTCCTCGTCGTAGAGGGCAAAGAGGTAGGTGTCCACCGATTTCCCTGGCATCAATGGAGTCCCCACCATCGACCGAAGGTGGGCGATCAGATTACCGTTGTAAGCCTTGGCGTTCTCCATACTAGGTCCCACTTCGTCGCCGTCTCCTTTGTACGGCCAACCGGTCTCGGCGACCACAATCTCTACGTTTTTAAATCCCATGGCGTTCAATGCAGAATGGACAGCATCCACCTGCAAAATCAAGGTATTCGTTCAATTAATTCATGGAATTGAAAAGGAAAAACGAAAATTTACCTCCAAATTCGAAAACCCACCTGAGCATCGAACATGTTCATGTAATTGATCTTCGTGTTGGCGTCGAAACGACCCGGATTCGGTTGAAACAGGCAAAACGCCAGGGTCTCAGGCCTCGGATCCCCCCGGTAAGCAAAATACGGGTACGGGTTAATTGCAAAAGGTGAGCCCGTGGCGTTGTTGAACTCCAACAATCCCTTCAAAACGTCGCCTAAACCGGGGTCGAATATTCCGGCAGACGGTGGCTCAGACTGCTTGAGCAGAGTCATCGGGTGCACGGTGGAGACCTTAATCTTGTCCCCCACAGACGCCGCATCGAGGGCATTCTTGATATTTTGCATCGCCGGTAATAAATTCGTCTTCAAATTATCATCTCCATACAGCAAAACCTCGTTTCCTACGTTTACGAGGATGATCTTGCTCGCAGGATAGTACGCGAGTACATTGGTGTTCACCCAGTTCTTGGCGAAATTAGGGTCGGAGGCTAAAGCCGGGATGTCGCCGTTTGCAGCGCCAATAACAATTCCAATTCCGGTGTTGGCCAGAGCGCTGATGATTGCGGGGTCGGTTCCGTACAACCGGACCTTTTCAATTGAGGTGGACTGAAGCAGCTTCGCTGTAGCTGACGGTGGGGGAAGGTTGTCGGCAACTTGTCCATAGTTCACACCAATAAAGGATTCAGAATCTGCAAAAAATAAAAAAACCTTTCGTCTGAATTCATCTTCATTATGTCACTAAGTATTTTCTCAGGAACCAAACATGCATAAAAAAATGTAAAAAGAAAAAGAAGAAAAAGAAAAGAATAGAGATTAAATTGGAGGGAAGTAAGGAGCTCACTTGCTATGTTAAAACCAAGAAAGAAGGTAAGAATAAGGAAAGCTAATGGAATATGGAGGGCCGCCATAGCTAAAGTGCTTACTCTGTTTTGGAGTTACAGAGCTTGTGAGGGAGAAACTAGAAACGGTGCAATAAATAACCGGCTAAACGAAAAGATAAGGACATGATGGTAAATACATCTTTCAGTGGGAGAGCGCCAAAAAGCAGGTTAAATTACAAAGTCAGGTGAAAAATAAATAGGTAAAGGATTGTTTAACACTTATTTTTAAAAATACTTTTT